TCTCATGCAGTTTTTTCTTTTTTTACATTTGTAATTTTTATTTTTTTTCACAAAAATATCATCAAATATTTTTATTTTTACCCTTTTTATCTGCAGTTTTTATTCTATTTTTTCTGAAACAACGGCAAAAACTTTGAGTGGTATTCAAAATTGTAATTTTTGTTACTTTTAGTTGTTATTTTCGTCCTCATAATTTTATTTTTTACTCTTCAATTTTCATTTTTTAATTCATAGTTTTTAAGTTGTAAAAAAATTAAACTATCGTAGAACTTGTTTGTTTCTTCAAAACAGTTTCTTTAATAACTTTTTTCTATTTTTAATTTTTTTATTTTTACTTTTTAAAATGAAATAATAATTTTTTTCTGATAGCAATATGAAAGTGTGCGTGCGTTATTCAAAACATTAAATTTTTTTTACGTGCTATCAGCACTCACGCCAATAATAAATTTACACATTTAAAGCCAACAGCAAGCGGGGCAAAAAAATACATAATGATTTACAGAAAAAATAGTTTCTTTTAGAGTAATAGTTTTTTGCAATTTATAATTACTTGAAATCCAAATTACTTAAGTCAATAAAAGTGACGAAACTGATTGAACAAATTTTCAGCCATATTTATGGCATAAATCAGAATCTAATTTATTGCACTGATGAATAATAATATTCATAAGGAGCGAAAATCTGATGCGACGCTCATTTTAAGTCTGTTATTTGTATTAGACGGTGCGAAGTAAGTGCGATATCGCTTACTTTCCTATCTGAAATTAGTGCGCAACACAAACTTTTCATGCTTTTATCCGTTATTTTTGTAAGGAGATCAGAAAATTTTTCTAAATAAAGCTTTTTTTCAAATTATTTAGTTGTTGATTAATGCAATTAAGCAAATTAAACTGTAGTATTAAGCGGTGATGCAGAATATCCGAGGTAGGGCACGAAGACGTGCTCGAGTTCATTTTAACCTCGCAAGTAATCGAGTAAGATCAGAAACACCAGAGGGAAGCTGGTCAGATGATAAAGGACGTGCTGAGGCTGTTAACAAAATACTAGGTTAGATTTAGTCATTTTGTGTACTGCTTCAAAATAATATTGATATTTTTGCTAAAATTGATTGTTACACAATAAAAAGTTATAATTTATCAGAATATAATAAATAATTTAAGTTTAAATAAAAGATAATGATAATAATAATAATAATTATTATTATAAATAGATGAATAAATAAATAAACAAATAAAAAGAATATAATGAATAATTTAAGTTTAAATAAGAGATAATAACTTCTGAATAAGTGCAGATTCAAAAAGTCAAATTTTGGGTGCTTTGTTGTAGCCCGGATTAAAGAATCAGAACAAGAATTGACTTCTTGCGAAAATCAATCAGGAGAATCACTGAATGTAATAATTTATTCAATTTATTTTGTTAATTATTCCTTAAAAATTGCTCGTACTTTTTCTTAAATTTTATTGTAAAGAACGTTTTTGTGAGCTAAAAAAGTTCCTCAATTTTTTATTATTTATTAAAAAAATAACAAAGGCTGCCAATAAACTCAAACAAGAAAGTATGCAAGAATATTTTTTAATCAAAATCAAATTTAGTAATCGAATTCGAACTTATGATTTCATTTCAAAAAAAGCAAAAAAAACACAGCAAATAATAATAGTTAATTAATTAATCTCATAGATGCCAGAAGATGCTTTGACAAATGCTCGAATTAAGCACGAAGAATATTTACTTGATGATCTGATTGAATACATTGAAAATTCTCTTGTTGATGGAGCAATTGCAAATCGTCACATGGCAGATTTTTATTTCTTTGCTTATTTATATTTTGCAATTCAAAATTAGTCTCCAGTAGTTGTTTTGATATATTTTTTGTGCCAAAATTATTGTATGAATATTCAATCGTACATTATATTTAAATAAAATTATATTTTAGACTGACTTTTTTGAAAAATTATTTTTACAAAACTAATTTTTTAAAGTTTCAATAATTAATGATATTTATTAATAAAACTTCATTTTTCAGATTGATGCACTCACTTACAAGGCAAGACTGAAGCGCAATTTAATCGAGTGGATTTTGCGCAATGAAACAGAACTGAAAGAAGTATGCATTTTAGTACTCAAAAACTATTAGTCTTTTTTAAAAATGTAAAGTTTTTGAGTATTTCTTTTTGACTGAAAATTGTATTTATTTTTGATTTTGATTATTTATTTTCAATTTTGAGTATTTATTTTTGACTGAAAATTGTATTTATTTTTGATTTTGATTATTTATTTTCAATTTTGAGTATTTCTTTTTGATTGAAAATTGTAATTTTTTTAACAGATTGATGAATTGGAGAATCTAATAATGAAACGTTACGTAGAAATCACTAAAGAAAGACAACATATGCAACGTTTGTTGGATTTTATGCGAGCTTTAGATAATTTGGAGAACGATTTCGATAATTTGAGAGACAAAATATTCGCACTGCCAATTAGCATCAGCACTACACAGTCTTCAAGCTTGGAGTCAAAAAGTGATAAAGTTGATATAAAATTATAATGACATTAATTACTTTACTTCACTTACTAAAATACAATAACAGTAGCAATGTAAATGATACTGTATAATTATATCATTTTCACAAATTACTATTTACTACTGAAAAACATAAAAATTTTTGCATTGTAATCATTTTAATTTGCATATTCTCTTATTAGTACTAATATTTTTGCATAATTTTTGATTTGAAAATTATATAAATGATGAAAAATAAAGTTTTTGGCTAGTTTTTTTTTACAGTATTTGTGGTATTGTCCATGCATTGATGCAAGTAAGAAGGTATTCTGTAATAATGTCAAATTATGGTAAAATAAAGTTTTTTCATCCAAAAATGCTTTCATAAAAAATCAAGAGTGACAGACAGATAAAGAAATATTTTTGTAATAATTTAAATTAATTTTGAAAAAATGTAATTTTTTGTTGTGAGACTGATTCTTAATTTTCAGGTAAATAAAGAGCATTTTGAATGCTATTTGTTATTTTAATGTTACATTTGATAGTTATTCAAGCAAAGGATTGTAGTACCAGAAATTACCTTGCATTAAATTCCAATAAATCATCACGTGATAGTTCGATCCTTCTGGGAGTTACCAGCGCTTGTACAGTATTTTTGTTACCTGGTCCGCTGGTCAGCAGTTTATTATTATATATTATTCTTCTGATTTTGAAATAAGCCAAAATTAAAAATCTTTCAACTTCAAGAATTAATGAAATTTTACTGTAATATTTTTCTATTTGCTGGTGATACTGTAATAAAAAATCACAACATTACTTCATTTACTTGACATATTTAAGTACTGTACATATTAACTTTCCTTAGTGGTAAGGGTAGCAAAAAATGAATGATAAGTATTTTTTTCAGAAAT